TAAAAACTGGTTATTTTGTGTAAGAGGGTTGTATAAAGTAGTTAGTTTTGTCATTTTCCCTTCATTATATTATTTATCTATGTCGATATAATACAGTTTGAGAAAATAATAATGTTTTTATTTTTGAATAAAATATAAATTTAGATATGTCATAAAAATTTGGAAAAAAATATAAATCGATGTTAGTATCAAATTTACTATTTAAACTTATGATTTTCTGTGTACTTTTTTTAATTCAACATTTTATTTATATTTAATAACGAAGTAATTTATTTATCTTTTAATAATAGTAATTTTTATAAAAATAATAATTAAGTATTTGTTATAACTACTGATTATTCTTATATTTTAGATTTTTTATATTCAAAATGAGACGTGTATCCTGTATTTGATTATGTTTATCTATAGTTAGTTGCAAAAATTCAAAAATGAAGTTTTAATGCGTTATACTTACGCACAATTACTTGTAATATTGAATCTTAAGTAATATGAATCAATAAACATTACTTTATATATAAAAAACGGTTTTATGAGTTTTTGTCAAATGCTTTATAATACAGTATAGATACCGGTTTGAAAATATTTTGCAATAATTATAAAAAAATTTAAATTAACCACAATGATGGTGCCTGATTGATTTGAGCTTGACTCCAAAAGTCAAAAGTATCAGGGGGTTTCAGGTTCAAATCCAAGGAGGAATAAAAATCCCTTTACGACCACGAAAATTCAAATACGATGATTCCAAGTTATCTGTAAAGTAGGTAGTCATCATGAGATTAGTCGGCTCGCATGGTGATTGAATATCCAGATTAATAAAAAGAAAGAAAAATTAAAAACCAAAATGTATGGCCCCTCGGTAACCCTTGAATTGCCTGCGCATTATGCATTCCCTCCTTTTAACTTTCTTTAAAACGGAGCAAGTAGAAACAACAATGACAATGTCCAGTTGGGGAAAAAAAGAAGGAAAGCTAAATTGATATCAACTCTCCGTCCATCGGCGGCGGTGGCGGCGGGACGACTGC